CCGAATCTACTTGTCACTAGGCTAAACCATAAATTACCATTCCCGGTTCTGTATTTTATTTATTAATGCATTTTTAATAATATATGGTTAATAAAAATCTATTTTAAGCTTACAAACAAATAAATTTTAGTTTTTAATATAGTACAGAAAAAAGTATTCTAAATTTACGAATGCATGTACTGTAAATACAGAACATACTAGTATATATTTTAATATGATTTTATGTGCTTTAAACGCTTTTCTAGTGATATTACGACTTCAATATTTGTGGCAAACACACGTAAAGTCGAATAAAATGACTTAAACTTGATTTTTATTTTTCCATATACTTTTTTGACAAACGATGTATAATCGGGAACGACGTAACTCGAGGTATGCCTGTATCTTAAATTTAATTAAAGTTTTTCTTATTGAATATCTTTTGTATTGAATTTTTAATCTGAATATCTATTTAAAAATATAAATTTAACATGAATGAATATATTTTATGTACTTTTAATTAAATATTAAGTAGTAATTTTCTTTACTGTATTAGATTTTAATATTTTTATATTATGCCAAATACAATGTAAACTTATTGGAAGAATGCTATTTGAAGACTGTAGAGATATATATTGTAATATTTCTTATGATTTGGTTAGTTTTTTATTTTAATCAGTTTATGATACAGGCTAATATCTTGTGTATGTTGATACATATTTCATTATTAAAGATTTTTTCACATAATAATAATAAATTTCTGATTAAAATAATATAAGTACAGCTATTAAATTTAACAGATAATATTACAAAACTATCATATGAATTAAGTATTTTATCAAATTAAATTACCATATATTTCTGCAGATAAGTCGACCTTCAGATAAGATGAGGTATAAATTTTTGTCAAAGTTTTATAATTTTAGCATTTTTCTGTCCTATAAGATGACCACCAAGCTATCAACGGCCTATGAATTTAGTTTAGATCAGCGATTTATCTGGATAATAATACTGTATAGCGTATACAGAATTATGTCCTATTTGTATTTTTTTGAATGAAAAAATTTTATTTTTATTCAAAAAATAATTCACAAAAATGTCCTACGGGCTAGTCTATTTTGTGGACATACCCTACTCTCTACTAGTAAATAATTACGGTTTGTCCTTATTTTTACAATGGTTTTAATTTATATAAATTTCAATATAATTTTTTTATATCTGTCTTATAAGACAACCCCGGATTTTGGGGCCTTCTTTTACGATTCAACTATCATCTTATCTGTGGAAATATACAGTATGAAATATTTATATTTGATAATTTAAAATTAATATATATTGTGTTTTATATTTGAAAAACTTTATTTTTTAAAAATTTCAGTGAAGAAAAGTTATTTGTTTCTACATTTAAGTTGTTAACTACAATGTATAAGGTGCTGCATGAAGAAAATGAGAAAACATTTTATCATAATATATCTTTGCTTCTGACTAATATCTTTCCTACAGAAGAGGAGTGGGAAACACTTCAAAATACACTAAATTCTCAAGTATTTACATATAAATTTCATAAATAAATTATAAATAAATAATTTTTTTTTAAATTCATTGAAAATTTTTTTAAAGTTTACAGCCTTTCCAGTCTTAAGTGACAAATTAACAGTAGCTTCTACAGCAATTTGCCCATCTAATGCTATACCTCCGCATTGCCTGGTAACACTTTTTGTATCAGAAATTTTATATAGTCTGATATGTCTCTGGGAGAATGAAAAAGATGATGCCAATAATTATATTTTTGAAGAAAAAAGTCAAGCTGTAATATTGAAACAACTCCCTAACATTGCAATGGCTCTCACATATTGTACCTATGCCAGATATGATTATAAAACTACAAAATATGTAAGAAATTTTATGAAAATTATTTCCTTATTTTTTTAATTTAAAATTTATAAAGTTATCTTTTCAGGTAGTTGATGCTAAGGAAAAGTTACATATTTATCAAAAGTTAAATAATAATTTATCATTTTTGCTTTCTAAATTGGATAATGCATCTTATCTTTCATTATTAAATACATTAAGCAACATGTAAGTGTTACTAATTTAGTAGTTTGTCAAATAGTAGTTGCAACTTTTATTTATATAAATATTTTATGACATAATTCATTCATATAAAATTATTATATACAGTATATTTCAAAAATTCATTTGCAGGTCACTTAATAATGGAGAACTTTGGTCTTGCACATTTGCATTAACAATATCATTAGAACAAAGAAAACCTATAAAAAAGTTTATAGTAGAAGTGCCTAATCAGTTAGAGCTGTGAGTATTTTCATTAATGAAATACTAACGAATATAAAAGTATTAATGCTTTTAATCTCAAGTATGTATTTTTCTTTTTTCGTAGTGAAAATATATTTCATCTACAAACATTAAAAACAGTGATACCATATTTAGACATAGAAAACTTAAAGGAAATTATTATTAGAGTTACAAATTTAATGTTATGTTCTGAAGATTTATTTTCAGTTGAAGGTTAGTATTTTCAATATTATAATTTATTTGAAAATATTTATTATTTGAATCTTTATTTTACATAATTTTAAATAGAACAGTTTATCATCTTGGGCATGCAATTGCTTTTGCATTATATTGAAGTTTTATTTTATTCTATAAAATCTATTTTATCTGTTATTAGGAATGATTATTATTAAAATATATACTGGATGATCAAATGAAAAGTTGCTTGTAGAAAGTAGATTTCTCAATGCCATAAACCATTCATGTTTGTTACTGTCCTGCTATACTTCTTGAGAAATGTTTATTTTGATTCTGATGAAACCGTGTTGTTGTTGTTATGCTGTTTCTTTGCAGACACACTAAGGTAACATATTTCAACACTTGGCAAATTATTCACCATTTATTCAGTTGGGACGCTTTTTACATTTCACGTTTCGGGCATTGGCCCCTCTTCAGCCAACTAAACATAAAAAATAAAACATGAGAAAAAATGTACAAAAATACGCGAGTAAAACATCACGTAGATAAAATGTATTTTCAAAAAATTCTTAAAAAACATACCATAAAGCACAAATCACTAGTGTACAGATGTCGTTCAGGATGGACAGTTTCATTTCTATATATCACTTGGAGAACAAACAGGGTCGAAAATAACCGCTTGACTACTGGCTTTCGAATATGGCATTCTTATACTTTATGCAAAAATTCAAATAAGTAAATTGAAAATTACAACATATTTTAACAATATTTGTTTTACCTGTGGCCAGTATTTGTATATTGCACCTAAATTCATACAATAACTGTTGACACTCTTTTCCGAACAAGTTTCACAGAGTCAAATTAGCGATATTATTTGGGCTGTCAATTTACATAGAACCCATTTAAAGCCATGACATTAGATTGCACAAACCCCTAATCAATATTTGTATTACTTACAGTTCATATAGACGTCTAAATTCGTATTTCAAATGGAGAACGAAGAGGGTCGAAGATAACAGCTTGACTACGGGGCTTTCAAATATGACTTCCTTATGGTTTACACAAATTTCAAATAAATAGATTGAAAATTACAACATATCTTAACAATATTTGTTTTACCTGTTGCTAATATTTGCATATTGCACCGAAATTCATTCAATAACAGTTGTCGCCCTTTTTTTCCGAACAAGTTTCACGAAGTCATCTTAGCAATATTATCTAAACTGCCAATTTACATAGAACATATTTAAAGCGATTACATTAAATTGTACAAACCAATAATTATTATTTGTATCACTTACAGTTCATAAAGACATATGTTTTCAGTTGTAGCTTTTCGTTAAACCACTCTCGTGTACAATTTCCGCAACGACACTATTTGGCAAACTAATTTACATATTTAAGTGAGCAGATTTTTGAACCAATTTCGATATATAATAAAAAGTGGTGTATAAACATGAATTATTATATTAATCTTAACTTAACTTATTACTTTACCAATATTTATATATTCATGAACATTAAACTTAGGTGATTTCCTTCGTAATTACAACCAATCAACATCAATGTAGTTACAATATTTTTATCCAGTTCTCACTGATTTTAATGCTTAAATTTTTATTTATACAGTTGTTATTTTTGTTTTTGATAATCTCGACGCTCTCTTTGAATTTTCTGTTGTATGTTTTCTTCTCTTTGTGTAGAATCTGTATATTGGCTTTATCTATATTGCAGTCGTTTAGTACACAATGATCATGGAATACAGAGTTTAATCGTTGGTACTTTAAATCAGACATATGTTCTTTTACTCTCAATTTAAGTTTTCGTTTTGTTTCGCCTATATAAAAGTTGGTGTTTTTACAGGTACATGGTATTTTATATACTATATTTTTCATCTCTTCTTTATCTATTTTTTGTTTTTTAATACACTGTTTGGCCTTTAATCTAGAGAATAGATTTTCATACTTGGGAGCAAGTTTCATATTATTTCTCTTCATTTCTGTATCTATTTGCTCATACATATTTTTTATATATGGGAAACCTACATATTTATATTTTGTTTTTCCATCAATTATTCTGGTTTTTGTATCTATTATTTTTTGCCATTTATTAATTAATCTCATTGGATATCCATTTATATTGAATTTTTTCTTTAAATTATTTATATGTTTATTTTTAATGATTTCGTTGCTGGTTCTATTTTTTATTTTCTTATACTCCATATGAAAAACATTCTTTTTAATATACATAGGTATACTAGAGTTGTATCTTATTGTAGTTTCAATTGAACACGGTTTTTTATAAGGTTCAACTTCTAGCTTGTTTTCTTTCCTTGTAATTACAACATCAAGGTATCGTATATTGTTATGAACATCATTTTCTTCTTCTATTGTAAATTGTATTTTTGTGTCTATGTTATTTATTATTTCTTNAAGGTTCAACTTCTAGCTTGTTTTCTTTCCTTGTAATTACAACATCAAGGTATCGTATATTGTTATGAACATCATTTTCTTCTTCTATTGTAAATTGTATTTTTGTGTCTATGTTATTTATTATTTCTTCTATTTCCTTAATATTAATTTCTGTATTGTTATATATAATTAAAACATCATCGACATATCTTTTATAATATTTTATACCATGTATATTTCTAATTCTTTTGTCAATTTCGGTCATTATAATTTCTGCGAGTTTTGGTCTGATGACTGACCCCATACTAATACCATTCTCTTGTGTATAATATTTTCCTTCTAATTCAAAATAATTACTCTTATATGCAAATTCTAACAGTTCTATAATATCAGGTTCTACATCTATTTTCTTAAGTTGATTCTCTATTAGTTCCCATTTTATTGATGGGTACATATCTGTCACATCTAGACTGGCTATTCTATATGTGTTTTCTATTTTAACACTTTTGAGATCATCGAGAAGGTCATCTGTGTTTTTGATAGAATATTTTGAGTTTTTGTAATCTTTGAGTTTTTGTTTCAAGAATTTTTCTAAGTTATATAATACAGCAAATTTAAAGTCTACTATTGGTCTTACATTTTCATCTTTCTTATGGGTTTTAAGTTGTATATTTAATCTTGGTGTTCTGTCATTATCCTCATACAGAATAAAATCTTTTTCATTTTTGGTAATTTTTTTAAGTTTTTGTAATTTTGTAATTCTATTTTTTAATTCTTCATATATTATATCTTTAGGGTTAATCGGTAGTTCTCTAAATTTATTACCTTTTACTATTTCAAGTTTTTTTAACTTTATCCAATCTAGAGTCACAACAATAACTTGTTTAGATTTATCTGCTCTTATAATATTTATCTTATTCTCCTTTAGAAAGGTATACAAGATAATTATTATAAGAGCAGATAAATATTTGCCAAGTGTTGAAATATGTCACCTTAGTGTGTCTGCAAAGAAACAGAAATGTTTATATTTGAACATTTATGTTTTACTAACTCAAAAGGTAACATTTGAAACTCCTTGCCAACATTGAAACATTATTTGTGAGGCTTGTCAACATTGACAAGCCTCACAAATAATGTTTTAATTTTTATTATTCTTTTGATAAGTTTTTTTTTTTGTAAATATTGCATTTTGGTAGTTTTTGATTCTAGTCATGAAATCTATTATGTTTTAATAAGATTTATTAATTTGTATTAAACTTTAAAAACAATTTAATTAATATCTTGAGTGCAACTGGAAAAAGTGTAAAGTGCTATTTGTTAAAATACATGTATAAAAACTTTTTAAATTAAAAATCTCAATGTATTCTTTATTGTTCTGAAGATTTATTTTCAGTCAAATAATAGCTTCAGCATAACTAATTTGCTTTTATATTTTACTACTAAAATGTCTTTTTTAATAAAATTGCTTTAATGTAAAAAATGGTGATTTCTATTATTAAAGAAGTGGATAATAACTGAAACTGCTATAAATATGATTATTGCACTTAAAGAAGATTTTTCAAAGTATTATCATTCAGATGTAATTTTATGATATTCAATTAATTCATCTTGTGTATAAGAATACACAAGATGAATTAATTGAAATATTGAAGCTTGAAATATTTATATCATATTTTAGAAATATTGTACTTAGGATATTGTACAAACAGTACAGTAGCTATTTGATATTTGTTACTTTCTTCATTTAATTTAGATTCTGTTTAAAACAAATTATTTCACTATATACATCATGCAATGTATTTTATTACAGGTGGAAATAGTCTGTTAGGAATTCTTGTATGCTGCTTAGAAGTTGAACGTATATTGATTTCTGAAGACATTCAAGATCACATGGAAACAATATTGGAATATTTTCTTGGTCTGAAAGAATTAGAAGTCAATCATTATTTAACATACAGGTGATGATAATATGTTGCTAAACTTTTTACTGTTTATGATATATAATTGGAAATTAAATGAGTTGCATTTAATTTAATTAAGTATCAGCTTAAATCTATTCATATTTTTTAAACTTAAGCAGATATCAGACTGTTTATTTTAAAAATTTCAGTCTATCGTCATTCATATATATATAATTTTGGCTATAGTTACTTAAGGTAATTCTTATTCAAAATATCCTTTTTTCTGTTTTACAAAAATGCTGTAGAATATCTATTCTAATGAGTAAAATATTTTTAAACATACTTAACTTATACACCTAAAATAATAATAATGTAAGTGTTATTACAACTAAGATGTAGAATTCTCATACAACTTCATAAGACAAATTATAATATACTGTTATTTTCACCGAATAACCAGCATGCCAGTTAAACTGTGACTAAAAAATAAAATTAACCAGATGTAACAAAATTGTTATTAACTAAAGTTAACTCCTTCCTCTCAAATTTCCTATACACTGATTAACATCTGCTTTGTAAGTCAAAATAATTTACCACTAGTTTCTGAAATTTAATATGCTTGCTTTTGCATTTTTAAATCAAATTACAATAAAATAAATATAAAAAAAGTACTTTCATCATCCCTTGAGTATTTTATATTATTAGAAAGAAGACAAAATGAAGAAATTTAACATATAATTATAGTTTTTGATGTAATGCTGACAATTTCACAGTTTTATAATAAAAATTCTTTCATTTTTTATGTGATGTAACTTGTTCATTTTTTTAATGCATCCTCTAGAGGGGGATCTATAATCTCACTTAAACTGGCATGCCTGCATTACCTGAGATAAATCGGCATGCTGGTTTTTTACCATACAGAAATATTCAAATTCAAATTTTTTTATTTGCATTAAGGCTAAGCCTTGTTACAGGGGTTTTTTCCACCATACAGAAATATCTGATTTCATTGTCTCCCCTGTATAGACGCATGCTGGTCATTCTGTGAAAATACATTATTATGTTACTATATACTTGGTAATTATATTTTAACAATTAAGAAATAATTAATTAAGAATTCTAATATCATAATTACATATATTTTCAATTTTATTTTATAATAGAAAGAATTAATAAAAAAAATATTCAATTTTAGAAATTAAAATTCTTTTTAAATAACTATTTTTATTTCTTGAATCAAAATCTTAATTAATTAATATGATAAAATTAATCAATTAATGGAAATTTTATGATCAAACTAAAGTATATTAAGAACCTACTTTAAAAGTTAATCTTAAATAACTTACAGATAAGATAATGATCCCTTTTTGTTCTCTTTATCTTATTATATCTAAAATTAAAAAATCTGTTGTATATTTTCAGTAATTTGTCAGAACAAGATGAAGGAAATATTGATTTTGTATCTAATACCATGTCTCTTCTTGAAAAAATTATTATAATATCTCCCTCCATTTTTGAAGTTAAACATTGGGATTTCACTCTCTGTTCTCTTGTTGGTTGGATTGAGGTAATTTTTAAATTTAGTTTTTAAACTATAAAAAAAATTAAAGTATTTAACAAATTATTTTATTATTTGCAGACTTGTAATCGAACTTATCTATCTTATGATCACTCACCATCAATATTACGCTTTTATATTCAAACATTCAATCTCTTTAGTTCCATCTCTGATTTTATGAAATGTCTTCAGGATGCAAAAGATACAAGTAAATATCCAGCAAATTTATTGATAGAATGGAATGATCTTTACACTGAGGAATGTTATAATGTGTGTCTTCCATTGTACATAAAAATAGCAGGCAAGTGACTTTATCTACAGATTGATTTTACTGAAAATAATTCTTTGCTATTAATTTGAAATTTTTTAAAAAACAGAAAATATGAAAGCTGTTGACTTAAATATTGGAGAAGAAATAATAACAGAAAATTTAACAAGAGTACTACAAGATATCCCTCTGAAATATGTGATTAATTGTAAAGTTTCTTTAGTTGAAACTAATGAGGAAATTGAAGAATCAGATAAAGTATCTTTAATATTAGATCATCTGATGCCTTTATTAACATCGGGAGTACGATCAGTACAGTTGGGAACTCACTTTTTGCTAATGAAGTAAGACTTATATTAATAATAATGCTATTTACTTTATATATATAAAGTTTAAAATTAATATTTGTAGGATAGTGCCAAAGCTAGCAAGTATATTATCAACAAAAGAAAAATCAGATGAAGATAACAGGTAAATCAAATATTTAAATATATTTTTTTCTGTTAACAATCAAAAAATTAATTTTTCTTTTATTGAAGATCTATCCCAGATAATTTCATTAAAAATCTTCAAGAAACTGGTCCCGTAGTAGAAACAATGCTATCGGATTTCCGTATTGGGGACTGTTGTATTTTAGAACCTTATACAGATGCTTATACTTATGGTAGAGCACATCTGTTATGTTGGATTCAGTTATTGGAATTCTTTTCTGCTGCTTCTTCAGAGGTAATTTTTTTTAAAGATTGTAATGGTATAGAATTTACCATGTATTAATCAACTGAAAATTTATAGGATCGATCCAAATATGCCAGTTATTTGCGTGACTCTGGTTTATTACAAACATTGTTAAATAGTTTGTTTTGTTTAATGCCCCACAACCCAAGCTTATCTTCTAATGAATCTGGAAAATCAAAATTACCCAATAAAACAATGTTTACAGAAAAACCATTAATGCCAATAAATGGTAAGTTAGTTAATATTTTATCATATATTTTATTTGTTGTATAACAAATAAAATAAGTTTGTTTCATTTATTCAGCTAGTGATACATCTTTGGAATTGCAACATTTGGCCTGTTATGTTTATTCAAGTGCCTTACAAAAGCTACCAGCATTAGTGAGACAGTGGTGGACCAATCAAGAAAAAAGAACAGCTGAAATTGTTAACAGGTGAAGTACTTTCAGTTTATATAACCAATAATACTTGTACATTGTTTCTAAACTTAATTAGATTAAAATATTTTTCACTAAATTTATAAAGCAAACATTCTTATAGATTCACTTCCAGTTTTGTCAGCAGTTTAATTTGTGCTAAAGAAATTCAGTCAGTTCATGAAAATGATAAAAAAATTTCAAATATGGTGGTTAGTAGCATTATTTTATTTTATTTGTATTAAAGAAAATTTCAACTTACCAATTAATTCTGTTGATTCTTTAATTAGGTTAAGGCTCGACCAACAGCGCGAGAAGTGGTTGCCACTTATACTATTGAAGAAGTAACAATTGAGTTATTGATTCAGCTTCCTCCTAATCATCCACTTGGCCCAGTTATAGTTGAAAGTGGGCGAAGAGTTGGAGTAGCCCAGACTCAGTGGAGAAACTGGATGTTGCAACTGACAACTTTTCTAACCCATCAGGTATCATCACTTTTATTAATTATAATTTTTAGCAATTTTACAAGGTCTGTTCAAAAAGTATCGGACCTTTTTTTTTTCTGCGTAAACCAATGATGCGCGAGAGACCTCCTTTGGTGGAGTTGTGGAGGGGACAATCATGCACATCCCTGAATTTTTTCCCGCCTGCAAGAAGCATCAGTCATTGGCAATCGGCCTATGAGTGAGGTCATGTTGCGCGCTATCGTCGGATTCCACTAAGCTGAAAAATGACTGAACAACGTGAGCAGCGATATTACATCAAATTTTGCCAAAAACCTTGGCGATACCCGAGTGTAAATCATTCGCAAGATTCAGCAGGCTTTCATGGACGATCCTCGAGGCCAAAAAAGCGCGGCAGGTCCGCAGCAATATCAAAGGTCATGTTGACAGTTTTTTAGACTCTCGTGGGGTGGTGTGTCGTGAGTACGCACCACAAGGCCAAACCATCGCAAAGGAGTACTACCAGGAGGTTTTTCGTCGTCTTTCCGATACAGTGCGATGCAAACGACCGGATCTTGGTCGATCAAAACTTGGCAGCTCCATCGTGATAATGCATCCGCCCATTCTGCGCATCTGATTCGGTCTTTCGTCGCCAAACACAATACTCCTGTGGTTCGTCACGCTCTGTACTCTCTCCACATGGCTCCGTGTGACCTTTGGCTATTTCCCAAGCTGAAAATGCCGCTAAAAGGAACCCGAATTTAGTCGAGAGAAGACATCGTGCGGCTGATGGCCATTCCAGAAAATGCATTCCAGCAGTGTTTCCAGCAATGGCAGGAACGCTGGGAGAAGTGTATACATTACCAAGGAGACTACTTTGAGGTACAAAACCCTAATCCCCTTCAAAGTCAATAAATTTATTTTTGCCGACCAAAGGTCCAATACTTTTTGAACAGACCTTGTACTTTCCTGGTTGTTATGTATATTGGAATCATGTCAAATTTGACTGTGAGTGTTTTGCAAATCTTTTTTGGATATGCATTGGTGTCTTTTCCCTTTAATATCTCAGGATGGGGTAATGACGAGAAAACAAAATTTGGCACAGTAGCTTATGTATAAGGGGCATTGATATTAAATTTTGGTTTTGAAAGGATGAGCATGGTCACATCATATCTTGAGTGGAGTTGAAGTTAATGAAGAATTTACTTGTTTTAGCATATAGTTTTTTTTTTTTATAAAACTTGTCTCTACCCTCAAAATTATAATAATAATAATTGCCATTTTATAATAATAATAATTATTTATTTGAGATTTTGTTATAAAAAAATTGTGTTGCTCCATCTTTTATATGATTAATTATATAAAATCGCATAAGGAGATTTGTATTTTATTTTTTAAAAAATCTAGTAACAAGTTTTGTAACATTACAAGAATTATTATAATAGCTGGGAAAGTTCTCTAATTTTAGCTCATATTAAACAAATATTTTTATTTATATGTGGTAGCGTCAAAAATAAACCAAATTTTCATTAAATTGACAATACAGGGTAGGTATATTAAAAGTATTTACAGAAGACCACCTTCAAAATAAGCACCTTCTGCAGCAAGAATATTTCTACCACTTACATGGTACATTTTTGCTGATTTGAATCTGCAACGTTTCTGTAGATCTTTCATTTTGGTGAAGACATTAAAGTCTGAAGAAGTGAAGTTTGGTGAGAAAGTAGCTGTGGAACTACAGTAAATATCCAGTAAAATGCACTATTCTAATAAGATATCTAGTAATGTGTTGGACATTTGTATCCAGCTTTTTGCTTGTCAGCAATGAAACTATGACATGAGTAATACAAAAACAGAGGACTTGTTAATCAATGTAATGTCATACACAAATAACACTAAAAAAAAGTTACAAAACGTTTGTAATCTTCTGTATCTGAGTTTCTTTTTTTGCCTTAGTGACTTATATTTGCTCTGCAGATCATGAAAAGTTTCCAAAATGTCAACTTCATCAAAAAAGGACTAGCCAATTCCTGAGTTTGCAAAAAGATCAGCTATTAAGTCATTTGTTTATTTTTTACTGAAGTTAATCTTTTTGGATAGAGATGCTCTTCTGTTGGCCACTACCATGTGCTTCTTTAAGCAAATTAAACATTTCAGTACAGTCGACCCCCCTATAACGTACGTTCTTATAACGACAATTCCTATAACGTAGCGAAAAAATTGTAGCAATTTTCGTATAACGTACCTCCTATAACGTCGTTTCTCGACAAGATTGATAGAGTCTGGACCAATAGTGGATGAGCAGCCGAACTACTTTCCTCCGACCCTGCGCCACGCTACGGAACGGCTAAATTGAGTTTGCTATCGTCTGTTTAGTATTATATATAAATTAGGTACTGTACATATAATTATATATTAATTATATATAAATTAGGTACTGTATATATAATTATATATTAACTTAATTTATTGTAACTTTATTATAATTATATATATGCTTTCTGCCGCCTGGCAACACGCTACGGAGATTTTAGGCTAGTAAGTTGAGTTTATTATCGTCTGCACAGTATGTAAATTAGGTACCGTAAGTCTAATACAGCACTAATTTTATACATTTCTTGTGAAAGTAACACTTCTTATTCAACGTCCATAAAAATTATTTATATTAATGATGTCTTCAAAGGTCAAGTTATTTATATGCGAAAAATTCGTTATTAGAAATCGCGGCCGTCGTTAATGTAATGTTCCGCGATGAAAACCAGCTTTAAGCAACAGCGTAGTCGAACGGTACAAACTCGGTAAGTAATCCTATAATTTTTTGTTTATAGCATAGTTTATACGGATTATTCCCAAAAAATTATACGTATTTTGGAAATGTTGAGTGGAATTAGTCTAGAATCGGTTAATTTTATAGAAGAAAACCTTTCGAACAGCCTTAGTCCGTAAAGTTCCCACCTATCGGTCTGCGATTGGCTCATTCCTACAACGTAATTTTCGGTTAGCGTGGAACGTATCTAAGCGTTATAGGGGGGTCTACTGTAAAGTTTGACACAGAATTTAATATTGATTGTGATGTGTTATTTCAGAATTCTGATAGTGCAAGCAGATATGTCTATGAAAACTTATTATGTAATTTTAAACACATTTATCATGCTGCATTAATGTAACTGATTTCATATCAGTATCTTAGGTTCCATGCTACAATATAAAATGTTTCAATTTTATTAATTTTACTGTGAAGTTGTTATTTGCAAAATTTTCTTAAAGTACTAGTAGCTCGGGACACCTCCTAGTAGGCGTTCTTTACAAATTTCCATGAGGCACGGTTCCTTTGACTTTTTTTGTTCCTATCAATATGCTCTACAGCTCTGTTAAAGTCCAAATGAAGAGATTTACCCCCGAATGAAGAAGTGGCGACCCCCCCAAACCGTAGATCCCTGTACTAACAATAAAGTCAAAGGAACCATACCCCTACTCGCGATCCTTCGCGAGATATAAGCTCCTGAAATAATAAATTCCTATTACAAATATACTGAATTATTTATATTGTTATATTGTTAATTAAAATTGTTAATTTGAATGTTTGAAATATGACACACGATAGGGGCGTCTCTAGTGTCCGTTATCAAACAGTTACGCGGACGGACACCCATTGAATGGGTTATATATACATAGATCATAAAAATTTTTTAAAATCCAAACTGACCATCATTACATTTCCTTGATAAATAAAAAAAATATATATATTTTGATAGAATGGATCAATATTAGAAGGTTTGGCTCTCTGGAAACGTAATGTGGACAAGCGGTTCGAAGGTGTAGAAGAATGCATGATATGTTTTTATGTCGTCCATGGTTCCACCTGTCAACTTCCGAGGTTATCCTGTCGAACCTGCAAGAAGAAGTTTCATTCTGCCTGTCTGGTAAATCACTTGTCGATTATATTTCTTTTCATCATATTTCTTTTCTAATTTTTATTTGTTATTTTTCAGTACAAATGGTTTAGCACAAGCAATAATTCTACCTGTCCACTGTGCAGAAATTTATTTTAATAAAAACATTGTGTAATTTATGTAAAATAAACTTTTAATAAAAAACAGAAATTTACTAATTCTCAATAAAAATAAATGAGCAAATATTTTATAAACAGATGGTGTAAGAAGTATGATGTACTTTTATATTGTGCATTGCCACTGCAGAACAAATCTGGGTTTTTCCTGACTCCTAGAGTTCTTTTGCAAAAATTGGAACCTTGTAACAGTTGAGGATTAGTCACCCTTCAACTATACACATTTTGTAATTGGATGGGGTGTTTATTAAATGAATTTAAGGAATAGTAAAAAAGTATTTTCCCAAACAAAATAATATACAAATCTTGGCAGCTAACAATTCTTTATTAATATAAGTATTACTCTTTCAACAACAAAAAAATCACTTCAATTATTTTCTATAACCAGCTATGATGCTTTTATCTTTGTCACTTTTTTTAACCTCAATCATTTTTGAAACATCTTCCAATTTTCTTTGGACGACAACTGTAAATTTTTATTTGTAATTAAATAAATTATTTGAAAAGACTAAAGCTGAAATTTTCTTACCTGTATTCTGTTCAATCCATTGCAAAGCATCCATGTGGCTATTTAAAATTTTTGCAATCTGGTGAATCTGCAAATTTTCATGATTATTAGTTATGTTAAAAAATTTTTATAAATTGGTTTTTTAATACTTACTGGATCATTTTCATCTTTGTTATTATTTCTTGAATTAATATGTTCAATAATTTCTTTGATATCTTCAGCCATTCGTTTCAATTGCGTGTCAATGCTTTCTGCCAAGTGATACCTACAATTTTTATACTGATTAAATAAATTGTTCAAAAATTAGAGTTTAAAATCAAGTATGAGAGAAAAACTTTTTCTCTCATACTTGACCTTAAACTCTAAATGGATATAAAAGTTAAAGATTTTAATATTTGTATAATAGTATATTACTAATAGATTATGATGTTTTTATTAAAAATAGCAATAAGCACATCCTCTTATTAAATTTTACAACTTACGTGTGTTCCCTTTCTAAATCAGCATGTTGCTGCACTGAAAGATTTGGCAATCCTTCTACACTCTTCTCTAAAGGTGTTAAGATCTCTTCTAATTCTCTCTGTTGTGCCACTATGAAATCTAATTCATGATCTAATCTTTGTTGATTTACTTTAACATATTCAACAGCTTCATATAATGATGTAATCTGAATTAGTCATAAAATGATTAAAATGTAAAATTTTCATAATAAAATAAACTTTGTACAGAAAATGTCTGTTTAAACATAGAATCAAAAATGAACATTAAAATTCAACAATTATATCAGCAAATCCTTTTTATAACTATTCTTTATATATTAATAATGAAAATTAAGTTAAAGTAAAATCTAAAAATGAACCCTCTAGGTATAACAGTTATTGCAGAGCATGACAAACTGTATTCATAGAAATGAGGGTTACACAGGGACAAGAGTCTGAATTAGTGAGGGAAAGAAGTGAATTTTTAAAAATTGAGATCTTGGAAACAAGCAACAAACATAAGGTAATAGTGTTATCAATTTGCCTTATATTGAGGAGCTAGTAGCTATCTAGAATGAACAAGATTGTTAAAATTCCTACATTAGCCAGATCACAGAATAATTTGGTCTCTGTATTACTGTTATGTGATAAGAATTTCCAACATTAGAGCAAAACTGTTTTTGATACTTGAATTGTCTTGTTTGCTGTCGTGTGAGCTCATAAGGATCAATCTGAGAAGTATTCGTATATCTAAAATAAGTTCTAGAAAATGAACTTTTGCAATTCAATAGTTCTCAATTTTGCATTTGAAGACTCCCATCTTTAGTTGGAATTGCTTTGGATTAAACCTAGTCAAAATCACTTTCATATACATTGAACCTATTATGTGACATTTATCTGGTGTACTTTATAGATTTAACAAATATTACTAAAGCTTGTTCAAAATAGAAGCCTGATAAACCAGAAAAAATTATTTGATACCCTTGCGATTCTAATTTACACAGGTTTATTGTATAAGAAAAATAAATATTAATGGACTTGATTTCATTTGTAATATTTTTATGTCAGGTTTTTTTTTAAAAATCAAAACTTGTTTACAATTCTTTTGACAAATTCTATTATAAATTAATAACAGAGATATAATGCACAACTTTCAGTTCACATCTCACAGATTCTACATTAGAATATTTTGTAGAAAAATTTGGTAACAATTCCTAGAAAATTGCAATTTTTCAGCTCTCGTAAGTTTCCGACAAAAGGAAGTTGTACTTCTTACAGATTTTATGGTATTAATAAATGTAAAATTTACTTTTCTAAATTTAATAACCCAGAATAAGTTAAAATTTTTTTTTATCTTATAAACCATCCAAATGCTTGGCATTAACATTTTGCAAAAAGTATACACAATTAAGATAATTAAAAATTACCTTTTCTCCATTTGAAATAAGGAGACAATCCCAAGCATTGACTTCTGTTGCTTGATTTAAAAATATACGTTCTTGTTCTTCCAATTCTAGGTTCCATTTGTTAATTGCTTCTTCTAATTGTCTAAAATTCATTACTGGAGTTTGTGTGACTGTAGATGAAGTACTTTAATAAAAAGCACTGTTGTTACAATTTTAATAAAGATATAATAAAATATATATATGATATGTGTAAATTTTATTTTTTGAAAACTTACACTGTTGTTGCAGTTGTCAATGAAGCAACAGTTGTTTGAGGAATAGCTGCTGAAGTAGAGGTTATCCCACTAAAAGTCAATCCAGGTGTTGATGTAATACGTGATATTTTTGATACAGCAGGAAACAAACTAAGTGATGCAGTGGTGGTGGTAGTTGCTGTACTAGTAATAGTAGGTATAGAAAACATTGTAGACGGCATTGTTGCTGCTGTAGGAACTGTAGCTGTTGATGTTACAAATGTCATTGAAGATACGGGTGTTGTTAGAGGTAAAGTAGTAGTAGTAGTTAATGATAAAGAAGCAGGAGGAGCTGAAACTATTACAGAAGAAAATAATGATGGAGTTGAGGTTGTGGTTGTGGTTGCAGTTGCAGTTACTGTTGAAAATGACAGTGTTGTTGGAAATGAAGACACTGTTGTAATTGCAAACTGTGTTGCAGATGTCATAGGTGTAATTGAAAATGGTGATGCTGATGCTGATGCTGTTGCTGTTGTTGCACTTGATGCTGGCATGCTAAACATGGATGCTCCACCCATATTAAAAGCAGAGCTACCTAAAGAAACTATCATGAAACTTATTAATTATATTATAGACAAAAGGTATAAAAACTAAAACACAGTAAATATTTACCAGTATTTGTTGTTGCGGCAGCACTACTTGCAGCAACAACTGACTCTGTACTCTTTTGCTGTTGCTGCTGCTGTTGCAAAGATGGTAATACTGTTGCTGTCATAATTGTTGTTGTTACTGCTGTTGCTGGAGCAACCCCAAATGTAAATCCTATATTTGCNCATCATGAGTCAGCCTGGGAAAGGAAATCAACTTCCTTTCAAAATCAAAAGTTTCATCCATTTTTGAAAAATTTGTTAAATTAGAAAAATATTATTTTTCTATTAATTTTCTAATCTTTTCTTCACCTTGTAAATTTTCAGAATGACCCTCCCTGAATAAATATAACAAATATATAATTTGGAATTTTAATATTTTATTTTGTTAAAAAAATATTTTAAATTTGTTAATACAAGAAATTGAATATTTAACCTGTAGTTGATGCAGCTGTTGAAGATGATGGCACAGAGAAGAATCCTGTAGTAGAAGTTGTGGTCATTGGAGCAAAGCCTGTAATTTTTGGCTGACTCTGAGTATCAGTATTTGGGGTTGATATGGCAATAAAACCACTTCCTTGAGCTATTGATATAAAATGTATATTAGTAAAATACAATAAATATAACTGTTATAGAATAAATCACTATATCATTTTTATTATAATACTGGTTTCAAATAGTCATCATAATTAAGAATTGCAAAATATTCCAAATAGAGATCCAAGATTCAAGTATATAAAAAGATTGAATTTCAAATAATTGTACATTTTCAATATTAATTACCCTGCTGCTCCAGTTGACCTAGTTCCTTATCTGTCTGCTGACTGATTTAAGCATTTACAGTATTTTCTACTAAAAGTAAAAAATAATAAAGCTAAGTAAAAGTAAAAAGAGTGTCTGATATTAAAAGTAATTTGAGTAATATACAGATAAAAGATTTATCTGTACATTACTAAATTTTGATATGTGTGTGTTTTATTTTTATGTATTATACTTTAATGTTATTTTGACATGTTTTAGAGATAAAGATAAAATGATAAACTGCAATATAGCTCTAAAATTAGTATTTTTATGTATGAAATATATAGTACATCGATGGATTTATTAAAAATAATGATGTACTGTATCAATATTATTAGTAGACTTTTTTCTGAGTGTAGCCATTTTTTGTAATTGAGTCGGTTCGGCAAATGTACATAAGATGGCATTAGCACTATCAGAAATTTAGGAATTTGTCTTTTGTATTGATAATATCTAAAAAATATATAACTTATGTAATATCATATAAATTATACAGTTTTAAAATAATAATGAAGTTACATGACTTATTTATATTTTTTTCGATCTCAGGTCAGTTAGGCCTAAATCATAAGATTTAGGCCTAACTGAGATAAAAATATCACAAGTTAGGCTAAATGTCACAATTATATTTGTTGATTTTTATTAATGAATTCAAACAATTATTAGTTAGTACGTCAATGTGCCATATCTAAACTTAACTTATATAAAGAATAAAACGACTTAAAATTTGCTTGCAAAATATAATGACGAAACTTTGAATCAAACGATGATCCCAGTTGTAAAAAATTGCTTATATTTCAAATTTCTGACTAAATAGTGCCCACTATTTATTAACAGACACACTAAAATACACAAAGAAATTGTATTTTCATTGCTGAAAACATAATGTTACATTTTAAATCTAGAAATAACTTGATATATAGAATAACGTAATATTATGTTTTTCGCATTTTACCAAACACTTCACGAAACCTAATATTACATTTGTAGCAGGTAAGTGTTAATGATTTAATTAAAACCTATTAATACAAGGATACAAATTTAAATCTATTTTTAATTTCTATTTTTTTATGGATATTAACATTTGGTTACTCTAACATTATGACAAGGTTTTATTTTTGATATTTCATTTAATATATAATATTTCAGGAATTATATAAACATACCATCTGCTCATTCAATTTGCATAAAGAAATATCAAAACAAATAGGAATACAATTTACTGATATGAATTATTTGTTCAAACTATCTTTCACAATGATTCAACATCAAATGTTCACATTTAAATTAAAAATGAATTATTGTAGAGCAGCGTTTCTCAAAGTGGGCACTGGAGGCTTTCAGGGGGGCAGTAGAAGGCTCAGTGATTAAATATGAGTTTTATTTTTCTCATCGAAACATTCTTTGATCTCAGAAATAGGATATGGGTCACACCCTATCTACCCTATCCATATATGGGTTGATGCAAAAGTTCGTCCCGTTTTTTTTAAAAGAATCAAAGAAAAATTTTATTTACTAAAACTTACATTTAATCAATATAGTATGTGCCATTCTGTTCGATGACCTTTCTCCATCTTTCTGGTAGCTGCATAATCCCGTGCTCATAGAATTTCTGAGATTTCTGGCTAAAAAACTGATCCAAGTGATTTTTCAAGTCTTCCAAGGAAGTAAAGTTTTTACCATCTAAGCTGTTTTGAAGTGATCTAAATAAATGGTAGTCAGAGGGTGCAAGGTCAGGAGAGTATGGTGGATGGACCAAAACATCCCAATCAAGTTGTAAAAGTTTTTGTCGGGTGGCCAAAGACACGTGTGGTCTAGCGTTGTCTTGATGGAACACAATGCCCTTTCTGTTGGCTAATTCAGGTCGCTTCTGGTCAATTGCTCGCTTTAATTCACTTAGTTGTGAACAGTATTTCTCTGAATTAATGGTCTGATTTTCAGGTAACAGCTCATAATAAATGATTCCCCTCCAGTCCCACCAAATGCATAGCATAACCTTCTTTGGATGTAAACTGGCTTTTGCGCTGGTTGAAGGGGCATCTCCGTGCTTACACCATGATCTTTTACGCTTAACATTATTGTACACAATCCATTTTTCATCACCTGTAATGATTCGCTTTAAAAATGGGTCAATTTCATTGCGCTTCAATAGAGAATCGCAAGCAGAAATTCGGTCTATCAAATTTTTTTCTGTTAACTCGTGCGGCACCCATACATCGGCCTTGCTTACCATTCCAAGTTGATGTAATCGCCTTGACACTGTTGACTGATTGATTCCAAGAATTTCTCCAATCTCTCGAGTTGTTTTGTGTCGATCACTTTCAATTAGTGCCAATATTTTGTCGTCATCAGCCTCGGCTGGTCGTCCAGAACGTGGTGCATCGCTAAGGTTAAAATTGCTTTCACGAAACTTTCTAAACCACTTACGGCACGTGGAATCATCAATGGCTCCCTCACCATACACAGAACATATCTTTTTTTGTGTCTGCGAAGCATTCTTGCCTTTTCGGAAATAAAAAAGCATAATATGTCGAAAATGCTCCTTATTTTCTGCCATTTGTAATGCTTAACAAAATTTTAAAAACACAACTAAGTAAGACAACTTTATTCTCAAATACTAGCTGAGATCCCTTCTGTCAAACAACGTGGAAATTTTACACATGTGAAAGAAATAACACTTCAGTGTTGCGCTTTTAGCCAGTTGGTGTTAAAAACGGGACTAACTTTTGCATCAACCCATAATAATGCATGTTTAAACATTATATTTGCAATAACTGTTTTTAAGATATGCAATAGATAGTAATGTAAAAAGGTAAGTTAAAAATATGGGGGCACTAGACTTTTTTTAATCTCAAAGTGGGCGGAGGTCGAAATAAGTTTGAAAACCTGTGTTGTAGAGTATAAAATGGTAATGGTTGAAAAATTATTTTTCACTCTTCTCTTTCAAACTTCAAGAAGTTCATTAAAAATTACCCTAATAAAATAAACTTTCATGATGACTTCTTCAGACTAGTCATCATGAAAGGAAATTGGAACTAAATTTCACACACCTACCAGTTATTTTACAGCCTGTGAAGTAGGCTTTAAAATAATTGGTATTACAAACACTGTCACTAGTTAAAGTTCAAAAGTTAAAACTTGAATTCTTTATTATCTGTGAACATTAAACTAATTTTGTGTGCAGTCAAAATATTTTAAATTAATATTTTAAAGAATTATGTAAAACAATTTATGTATATTTCTGTAAAAAAAAATAATAATAATTACCTAATGTAGATTGGGAAGATGCTGAAAGGTCAAATGATACAGATTTTTGTTTGGCTTCAGATGACTGAGTTGTTTGAGGTGATCCAAATCCAAAGACTGTAAATAAATTGTAAACAGTTCTCTATATTAACAATAATAGTTTAATATTGCTTTAAAAGTAAGCAAGTTTTAACAGTTTTAATTCTATGACAGAATATTTTATAGTTCTCAAAATAAATTTAAAATAAAATAGATGAATATATCTGTTTATATTGGAAAACTTAAAGACTATCTACTATCAATTGCTTTTTGTATGAACAAATTTTGATTGACTTCAAATAATTAAAATTGATGCAATCCAATATTTTGATTCTCCTAAAGATTTAACTAGTAGTATCATTATTGAAGATCACATCCTATTCTTTTATATTTATGTGTTAAATAATAAGAAAAAATCAAATTAATATTCTATAATTATTCATAAAGTTTAAATATTTTATAACATGAAATACCTGTCTGATTAGTTGTTAACTGAAGTGTAGTTGGAGTTCCAAAAATACTACTTGCAGATACACTTGTGGCAGGAGTACCAAAGGTTGGAGCTTTAAAATAAAACTACTATGAATACTTTTTAATTACTAAATGTACAATTTCAACAAACTAAATTTTATGCATTCAAGAATTTAGTCTAAAACAACACTTGATCAAAACACCAAAATTTTGTGGCCATACAAATGCAAAATCATAATTTTAATAACATCAACCTTATATTTCCATAACTTTTCCTCAATTAGTAATACATTTTAATAATTTCTTGGATTTCATTATTTTTATCTATTTCATTTATGGTTCTTTGTATTATTTTATCTATTGGGTTGAACCAAAAGTTCGTTCAGTTTTTAGAAAGAAAGAAAATATACTATTTTCAATAAATAAAAATTTTTAATCCACTATGTATTCACCCTTCTGCCTGATAACCTTATGACACCTGACAGGTAGTTTCATAATTCCATCTGTGTAGAATTAGATGGGTCTCTGATTGAAGAAATTATTGATGTGATTTTTGATACCTTCTAAAGGTTGAAATTCTATGCCATTTAAATTACTCTGCAATGAACGAAAAAGATGATAGTCTGAGGGAGCAATATATGGAGAATATGCAGGGTGACACAAAACATCCCAGTTAAAGTCTAGAAGTTTTTGGCACACATTTAACAATATGTGCAGTCTTGCATTATCATGACGGAATCCACTCCCTATCAATTTGCAAGTTCTGGACATTTTTGATGTACTGAAGCCTTTAGTTCAGTGCATCAACCAGTTGGAAACAATATTTATTGGAATTAATTGTTTGGTTGTTAGGTAAAGTTTGTAATAAAGAACCCCTTTCCAGTCCCACCAAACTGAAATCATTACTTTTCTGGGATGCAACTTTAGGTTGCGGCACTGGAGGATCACCTGGCTTACTCCAAGATCTCTTGCAATGAATATTGTTGTAAATGATCCATTTTTCATCGCCTGCTATTAATCACTTTAAAAAGGGATTGTCTTCATTGTGTTTTAAAAGTGAATCATATACAGAAACACGCTCAATAAGGTTTCATTCACTTAATTGATGGGGAACCAAAAAATCATAACAGGAAGTGTATCCAAGGCTAGCCAAATGTCTGACAACAGATGTTTGGGATATTTTTAAGATGTCAGCTATCTCTTGTGTTGTTTTATGCTGATCATTTTGAATTAAAGCCGTTATGGACTCATCTTCTATGGATGAAGGCTATCCTGACCAAGGTGCATCTTCAAGAGAAAAATCTCCCTCCCTGAATTTTGAAAACCATTTTTGGCGTGTTTGATCAGTAACTTTTCCTTCCCATATACAGAACATATCTTTTTTTGAGTTTTTGTTGCATTTTTTACCTTTTTGGAAATAATAGAGCATGATATGTCGAAAATGCACCTTCTTATCTTCCGTTTTAATGTTTTTTTTTCTTATAAAATAACAAAATTTTAAAAATAGCTGTGTGAGGGGCTAGCCGGGATACGGAGTAGTTAAGACTCGTGTACCACTTAATCGGCAACTATTCTCTCGAATAGCTCTCTGTCTTACAAGGATGGTTTTCCTAATTCAAGGAAATCGAGTGCAGAGGGACTTACAGTTTGAATGTTAAATTAAAGCGGAATTAGATGATCGCATAATCACCCTTTTCCTTATCAGGATTCCTGACACCAGTTAATCAATTATTTTATACGTGGATTAACACGCGTTAACCTTAACTTGTGAGTAGGAGGAGCGAAGGAAATTTAAAGACGAATGAGTATGAATAGCCAATATTAACCAAACCATTTTCATATAACAAATCAAAACATTTAATGAATCAAAATATAAAAATATACAAAAGAATGAATCTAACCTAATCCTAATCCTAAATCTTAATCTAAGATTATTTCTAAACCTAACATGTGAGAGAGAGTTCACATCGATCTAACTTATATTACCTTCCACAGGTCTTTCATATATTCCTCTGTAGCTATATGAGGGTCTTCTTCCTTTCTTGGTTATTTCTCTTCTTATATTTTCTATGGACAGTTCTTTTAATTTCAAATCAAATCCTCTCTTTTATCAATCTCGTATACTTCAAATGTAGTACTATGTTTTATGACTTCCTTTCGGATTCTTATAACAGCCTTGTATGACAATACAGTAGAGCGTCGTTTATCTGAAGGTTGGTTATCCGAAGGAATTCCAGTCGACAAATTTAAATTTTCGCCAGTGCTGTGGCGCCGTAATCTTTGGCTATGTCTTTGGCTACTCAAATATTTTACGTTTTGGATACTAAATTAACTTCTGAAGTATAATTTTTTTATTGTTTTTATATTTTTTAATATCATTTATCGCT